CTTAAAACAAAGACAGGATTTGGTCCTATATTTGTACAAATCTTCCTCACTTACCTCACTCTCATCCTGTGTTTGTTCCAATAAAATTTTATTTACAACAAGAGGTGGTCAATCCATGTGCTGTGATTTGCAATGAATTTTTAAAAAATATTTCATGAAAATATTTTATATATTTAATATATACACATAATATATATGCATATATAATATATATATGATATATAGAATTTTATACTACATATATATATATATATATTACTGTGTTTTGCTGCCCTGTTAAAAGTTGCTTCCGAAAGAGAATGCCTTACTGGCCTCAGTGTATTCCCTACCTACTCCCTACTCTGAAAAACATCAGATTTGGAAAAAGAAAAGAAAAATATAAGGAATAGAGTAACAATAGAAAGCCAAACAAGTAAAATCAGAAAGTGGGGAAAATAAAGAGAAAGAAGATAAAATGTAGTAAGAATTTAAACATGACTATTTTTTAATCTAATAATATAATGTAAAATAAAATCCCCCAAGGATATGAATGTTTTCAAAGGAAAGAGTAGGTCAAATATACGCTTAGCTGAAACTAATGTAATAGGGCATTCTCTTGCATTCCTAGCAAATAATTCTGAGTTCAGGCACTTTTTGTTGTGGAATTCTGAGCACTGGAGGTTCTTAAATCCCTATAATTTGGAGGTGTGGGGTAAAAGAGAAGTAAAGCAACTCCTGCTTTATTTTTTCTTAAAACTCTTCATGCAAAGTAGCTTTTTCTTCTTCATAAGTAGTAGTAATTTGACAATTCAGAGTCTCCCGTATTCATCTCCCTATAATCTTCAGAAGTTAAAATTCCAAAATGGGTAAAATCCTAGAGAAGGATAATATCTACACTTTCTCTGAGCACTGCTAAATAGAAAATAAAAACAGGTTGAGATTATTGATGTGGAATTGCAGATAACTGCTACTCTTAAATCACGTGTTATCTTGTTGCAGGTCAAGACAAGGGGTTCTGTAACAAGACTACCATCACTTAAATCTCTGCTTTTACGCTTATTATTTTGTGATCCTGAACGTGTCACTTAAACTCCGTTTTCTTCAGATTACTCTTCTCTAAAATCTGGATAATAATAGTTCTTACTTTATAAAGTTATAATTAATATTAAATGAATTAAAGCATGTGGAGCTTTTGCCGGGCACATAATAATTTTATAAAGCACATTATATTTACAAGTTTTTATATTCTTATCAAAAGGACAACTAAAATATGAAATTAAGAAATCAGAATTGCAAGAAAATACATATCATTTTACAGAGTAAGAATATTTTTGCAAACCACCAGTGAAATAGGAAAGGTTGATAGGAAAACCCTGAACAACTTCAGCTAAAGATATATTCCTTTGTAACAAGGAGTCCATTTTTTAGCTTGTAAACAATTTGGGTTTACTCTTTTTGCCCAAATAAAACATGAAACCATTAACATTAAAGCAGTGTTAGCAGAAGACAGGAACATGGAAGAATAAGATGAGAGACAGAGAAGGGAGAGCAAATGAGGCAACTAAAGGTAGGCATTATACAAGGCATTTTTTTTCCATTCCATTTTTTTCTTACTGAGAGTAAGAAAACATTCCACATTGCAACAAAAAGTATGCATGCACAAAAATCAACAAAAGCTTATCAAACAATACCTTTATCAGATGGCCTCCTTTCCTCTCCTCTCCTCTCCTCTTTCCTTTGTCTTCTGTGCTATTCCAAGAGATTGTTTATCTAAAGTGAATAAAAGACAAATGCATCAACTAATTTTAAACAGTACTGATAGTACCAATAACATTACTTAAAGTAAGCAAACATGACATGATATATAACAAACATGATGATATAAGACATTTAAGGAAAGAAGTGGGGAGAAAGGGGTGAGAAGAGAGGGAAAGAAGGAAGAAAGGGAGGGATGGAGAGAAGGAGGGAGGGAGGGAGGGAGGGAGGCAGGGAGGCAGGGAGGCAGGAAGGAAGGAAGGAAGGAAGGAAGGAAGGAAGGAAGGAAGGAAGGAAGGAAGGAAGGAAGGAAGGGGAATTTGAGAAATACAGGAAAAGAATTCTGAATTAGACCAAAAAGGCAGTATTTCCTGGATCCAAACAGAATATGTCTTCAATTCCATAGATAAGTGAAATTTAAAACTAGTAACAAATTTGATCTTTGCATAAGTTTTAGTGTTATTTGTAATTATTTTTAAAATTTTATGAAGAGATGATTTTATTACCTACCAAATAATTCATGTCATAAAGCCATGCATGAAAAATTAGTATCTTTATCCATGACCCCTCAAAAAATCCTTGACTACAAAGGACAAGTTATTGTCAAAGAACTATAGCAGGCAAGATTCTATGCCTTGTGTTGAAAGCCAAACATGTGATATTCCTTACACCAGTACTTCTCAGACTTTACTAAGCACACAAAGCCTCTTCAGGGGTTTTTCAAACACAGACTACTAGGCCCCATACCTAAAGATTCTGATTGAGTAGGTTTGGGATAGCATTTGACTGATTTACATTCCTAACAGGTTATCAGTGTATTTACTGAGAACCACAGTGTCACACGATGATTTACTGGCCCCAGGTTTCAACATACATGCTCAAATTTTCTTTTCACATTATTCCTGAGAGTTAGTGATACAGCTTGGTTGTGTCCCCACCCAAATCTCACCTTGTAGTTCCCATAATCCCCACTTCTGGTGGGAGGGCATCAGAGTAACATAATTAAGTAATGGGGGCAGTTTCCCCAAGCTATTTTCATGAGAGTAAGTTCTCATGAGATTATGGCTACATAAGGGGCTTCTTCTTTTGCTCAGCCTTCACTCTTCTCCTTCCTGTGGCCAAGTGAAGAAGGACATGTTTGCTCTCCTTCTGCCATGACTGTAAGTTTACTGAGGCCTCTGCAGCTATGTGAACTGTGAGTCAATTAAACCTCTTTTCTTTATAAATTATCCAGTCTTGGGTACGTCTTCATAGCAGTATGAGAATGACCTAATACAAACAATTGGTACTGAAGTAGTGGGGCATTGCTATAAAGATACCCAAAAATGGTCCAGATGCAATGGCTCAAGCCTGTAAATCAGCAGTTTTGGAGGCTGAGGCAGGTTGATCATCTGGAGTCAGGAGCTCAAGATGAGCCTGACTAATCCTGTGTCTACTAAACCTGCAAAAATTAGCCAGGTATGTGGTGGCATGTGCCTGTAGTCCCAGATACTCAGGAGACTGAGGCAGGAGAATCACTGGAACCCAGGAGATGGAAGTTGCAGTGAGCCAAGATCATGCCACTGGACTCCCAGCCTGGACAACAGGGTGAGACTTCATCTCAATAAATAAATAAACAAGATACCCAAAAATACTGAAGTGACTTTGGAAATGGGTAACAGGCAAAGGTTAAAAAAGATTGGAAGGCTTAGAAAAAGATTGGAAAGTGTTGGAAAGTTTGGAACTTTCTAACTTGTTGAATGCCTTTGACCAAAATACTAATAGTGATATGGAGACTGGAGTCCAGGGTGAGGTGATCTCAGATGGAGATGAGGAACTTTTTGGGAAACAGGGTAAAGGTCACTCTCGCTATGTAACGAGACTGGCAGAATTTTGCCCTTGCCCTAGAAATCTGTGGAACATTGAACTTGAGATGGATAATTTAGGGTGTCTGGCAGAAGAAATTTCTAAGTGGCAAAGCTTTTGAGAGGAAAATTGTCAGGCTGATGATGCAAAAGAAAAGAAAAACCCATTTTCTAGGGAGAAATTCAAGTCTGCTGTAGAAATTTGCATAAGTAATGAGGAACTGAATATTAATCTCCAAAACAATGGGGAAAATGTCTCCAGGGCATGTCAGACACCTTCACAGTAGTTCCTCCCATGATAGGCCAAAAGGCCTAAGAGGGAAAAATGGTTTTGTGGTCAGGACTAAGGTCCCCCTGCTCTATGCAGCCTCAAGACATGGTGTCCTGCATCCTAGCTGTTTCCACTCCAGCTGTGGCTAAAAACTGCCAACATACAGCTCAAGTTGTTGCTTTAAAGGATCCAGTCCCTAAACCTTGGTGGCTTACATGTGATATTGGGTCTGTGAATGCACAGAAGTCAAGAATTGAGGTTTGAGAATCTCCACATAGTTTTCAGAGGATGTATGGAAACTCCTGGGTGTCCAGGCAGAAGTTTGCATTTGCTGCAGGAGTAGAGCCCTCATGGAGAACCTCTGCTAGGGCAGTGTAGAAGGGAAATATGGGGTTGAAGTCTCAACACAAAGTTCCTACTGGGACACTGCCTAGTGGAGCTGTGAAAAGAAGGCCATTATATTCCAAACCACACAATGATAAATCCACCCTCAGCTTGCACCATGCACCTGGAAAAGCCACAGACACTCAACATCACTCCATGAAAGCAGCCAGTAGTGAGGCTTTACCCGGCAAAGCCACAGGGGTGGAGCTACCCAAGGCTGTGGGAGTCTACGTCTTGCATCAGCATAACCTGGATGTGACACTTGGAGACAAAGAAGTTTATTTTGGAGGTTTAAAATGTAATTACTGCCAACTGGATTTCAGACTTAGGTGAGGCTTGTAGCCCTTTTGTTGTGACCAATTTTTCACATTTGGAATGGGTGTATTTACCCAATGCCTGTACTTCCATTGTATCTAGGAGGAAACTAATTTGCTTTTGATTTTAGAGACTCCTAGATGGAAGGGATTTGCCTTGCCTCAGATGAGACTTTGGACTTGGACTTCAGGTTAATGCTGGAATGAGCTAAGACTTTGGGGGACTGTTGGAAACGTATGATTATACTTTGAAATGTAAGGACATGAGATTTGGGAGGGGCCAGTGGCAGACTGATATGGTTTTGCTGTGTCCCCACCCAATTCTCATCTTGAATAGTAGTTCCCATAATCCCCATGTGTTGTGGGAGGAACCCACTGGGAGGTAATTGAATCATGTGGGCAGTTTCCCCCATGCTATTTTTGATATATTGAGTATGTTTTCAAGAAATCTGATGGTATTATAGGGAGCTTTCCCTTTCACTTGACTTTCATTCTTCTCCTTCCTGCTACCATGTGAAGGATGTGTTTACTTCTCCTTCTGCCATGATGGTAAGTTTCCTGAGGCCTCCCTGGTAAGTTAATAGACTCCCTGCAGAACTGTGCATCTATTAACTGTCTTTCCATTACAAATTACTTAGTAATGGGTATTTCTTCATAGTAGTGTGAGAACAGACTAATACAGTTAGCATTATTACTATTTACAGATTAGAACAGAGAGACATAGTGTCGTGACTTAAACAAACGACACAGCTAATAAATGAAAAAAATCTTAATTAAGATCCTGATTTTCTGAACCCTAACTGTATGGTTTTTCTACTAGTTTAAACTGCATAGAAAGCAAAGTGATTACCAGTTTAGGCCATTGAAGAGGAAAGAAAGAAAATCCCATGTGGCGAATTAGCTGAGGAATAAAAAACTAATTATAGCCTTGATAAACATCAGTAAGAGCACAACTGAACAGAATTGAATATGTAATGATGACTTTTGCACTGTTTTTCAACCTCTTTGAGCAAAAATGTAATATCATCATGGGCTATTGTTTCCAAAAGATTTATGCCTTTCTTTTGTATCAGAAAGAAATCTCAAGTTACTAGCAGAAACTTTCTATCATACTTATCTATCGATCTATTACTGATGACTAAATAAAAATTAACTATATATGTTTTTTTGGTATTTGAATCAGAAATTATTACTATCATAGTTATAGAAAAATATTAACACTGACATATTGAAACACAGTCATAATATAGATTTAAATATAAAGGGGGCATTCTAGATGGCAAATTTTAATGTCTATTTCTCAATATAAGCCAAAAATAATTGATTCATTTGTGTTGGCATGTATGGTTGCATAAAATACCATAAAATTTGTTCCGATTTTGACTTATGGTCAAATTCAGATTAGATTCTTCATCAATCTGCGAAAACAATTTGTAAAGACTGGAATTTTCTCATTATGTTGCCATATTGGGTTTACTTTCAATTTAAATGAAGAATTTATGTCCAAAGATATTCTCTGACTTATTCTGCCATTTAAATAGTAGATATAGCCAGTCTCCTGTTAAAACCTGAAAAACCAAAACAACGGGTATCTGTTCTTGTGGAATAAACTAAAATTCCACTATTACAGCATTTTGAACAGAATTCAGCATTAGACAAATAGACTTTGGACCCTCTCCAAGGGATTTGATTACCACAAACAGCAGAAGTTCCCTTCATTGCACTGTACCACCCATCAGGACTCTGAGAACAGCATTATATTAAAGCTCTCTTGTTCTTATAAGTGAGTAATTTTATAGCGACTACAGAAATATATTTTGCAGTTCTATTCCAGTGGGGAAGGAAGGAGGGTTGACTCTGGTGGTTATAGTTATAAACTGAAATATGTTAAAATACATTTTTTCAAACTATGGGATAGTTTTTCCGATTAATGTTCTTAACTTTATCTGAAAAGAAAATTAAGACATAGGTTTTCAAAGTTAACAGCCATTGCTTTATATTCCCTTTTCAGTGGTTCAACTTGGAAGTCAAATATTTCTAAAAATGTATAGCCAAGATATTACAAAGCCTGAATCAGTTGAAAGTAATTAATTCATAAAATCTGACTATTGCTTATAAATATTGCTTATTGAAAGAAATAGTGCATGTTATAAAAAGAGAACAAGTAAACATTAATTTGAAATGTTAAAGAAAGTAGTCAGAAGACATTTTGGTACTTGCCCAGACATCTTTAAACATAGCAATAGTTATATGAATTATCTCTTAGTTTGTATATACAGGTTCAGTTTGAGGAAAAATGAAAATATGTGGACCAGCTCTGGCAATGTAGAGTGTCAAATTTTTTGCACAAATGGTAATTTTGCATGTAGTTTTAGAAACGACATAGAATTTTAAAAATATTATGTTTATATTTAAAGAATTAAATGCCCAAATGCATTTAAATGTTTTTCTTATAGTAAAATCTAATAAACCAACAAATAACCTTAATGTCCTCAAACTGTCACTATTGAAATGGTTCTTCCAAGTGCTACGTTTTTCAGAGGTTCAACAGGACAAATAAGCTGGGTTGTTAATCTCTCTCAAAACACATTTACAGTCAAAAAATTATTCATCAAATTAGTTAATGATTCTACTGCATTGTATAATTTGAAAAAATCACTGAATTTTTCATCTGCTTTCATGTCCTTTTCTATAAACTCTTGTATTTTCTATATTTCTGCACCATAATTTTTGTAGGATGTTGAGAGAAAAAGTACCTAATGTCTGTGCATAAGACACCTGTTTTTTAATCCCTATTCTGTTATTTTAAAATGCTTAACTGCTCACCTCTTACATGGGCAAAGCTCCTTTGCCTCTTAGAAAATTTTTTCTCTCATGTTCATGCCCGTTTTCTAAATTTCATCCCACATTAATACTATTTCTGAATTGGAGCAAAAAATATACAGAAATAAATATTCTTTACTTTTTATTATTCTCTAATTAATGCTTACTACAAATTTTATAAAAAAGTAACTGGTATGCAGCTTTTCCCCCAGTGTTAACAGCTAGAAATCTGGACTAAAGGTCTGAAACAATGTTCATTGGAATGATATGAATTACAGCATTATTCTTCCTGAGAGACAGATGCACCCTAAATTGCTTTGCCTTTTTGACTGAAGGTAAGTTCTGGATTGCAGGGCAGGAGAGAAGCAAAGCAAGCATGACAGTCTTGTCTTGGAGAGATACAGACTGTTCTTTGGGAAGATGGGGAATGCTGCAATTTGTGGGGTAGAGTAACAGAAAAGAGGGAACTCAAAAATACATATAGTGGTTCTTGTTTTTCTTGACTGAATATTAATCTGCATATGCATAGGGTGAAACTCCACAAAGTCAAGCAATATCAACAGCAAGCAAATTGTAAGAATACTAATTCCCAGGCCACACAGAAGGATGGAAGACATTCAATGTCCAGAGAGAGTAAAAAATCTTGTTGAATACTTGAGATAATTAATAGAAGCCTCAGAAGTGTCACAAACGCCTAACAGCTATATTGGCCCTTAAGTAATTCCCACTTCAGATTCAAAAAAAAATATCAAAAACAAAAAGCCTCTTTCTATAACCTACCTGCCTGCCAAAGCAAACTTCAATAGTCTTTAAAGGAAGTCAGCAAAATCTAAACACTCAATAAGAAAGCATATACAATATCTGGAATCTAGTAAAATAATCACTAGCCATGCAAAAAAGCAGAACTGTGAGCCACATGAGAAAAATCATTAAAAATAAAGCAAAATAAGGAAATTAAATAAGGAATAGACTTAGCATATAAGGAAGTAAATAGAACTATTAGACATATTTAAATATTTGTTTCAAATAACTGTGTGCACACATATATGTGTATATATAAGTCTATTTATATACTTATTTATTTTAGGGATTGACTTACTGAATAGTGGGAGCTGGCTAAGCAGTCTCTGTCTGACTGTTGTCTTCAGGTCTGATGCTGTATGTAGCCACAGGGCAGGAAATCAAGAAAGGAATGAGATGGAGTAAAAGCATCATCAATTCTTGGTGCCTCTGAACTTAAGTGGTAAACATCCTGATAAAGCTGGGGCCCTTTACCACAGATCTAAACATACACAATTCTGGCCCAGGAGTTAAAGAAGCTTTAGGAGAATGCCAGAGAAGGCGGAGCAGTTGCAAGACTCATCACTTCTCTCCACCAAGAGGGTTAGACAGTGGATAAGCAATGATGTGTAGGAGCCGCAGAAAGGCTGCCACTTCGCTTCTACCTTTCAGTTCCCCACAGGAAACTTTCTTGTTGCCTATTCTAACTGGAAAATACAGGAAGGAATTCTAAGAAATGTAGTCTAGCTCAGCAACATAGACACATCACTAAGCTGCAATATTCAAACCTTTAAAGGAGTACATACTGTAAAAGATACATAAAACATATTTAAATAAGAATCAAATGGACCTTCTAGAGATAAAATGTACAATATCAAAGTTAAAATATTCACTGGGTAAGTTTAGCAGGTGATTAGACACAGTAGGTCAAATCACCAATAAATACAAATAAAAAGCAATAGAGAAAGCCAGTTCAGGCTACCATAACCAAGCACCACAGGCTGGGTGGCTTGAATAAGAGAAATGTATTTCCTCACAGTTACAGAGTTTGGAAGTTCAAGATTAAAGAGCCAGCATGGCCATTTTCTGGTGAAGACCCTCTTCCTGGCTTGCACCAGCTACCTGCTCATTGTATCCTCACATGGCCTGTCATGCATGCATATGTGGAGAGATGGAGCTCTCTGGTGTCTTTTCCTAGAAAGAAACTTACTATTGTTTCCCCCACCCTCACGATCTCCTTTTCAACCCTATCTCCAAATACAATCACATTGCAAGTTAGGACTTGAATAAATGATTTTGGGGGAGATAAAATTCAGTGCCTAGCAATATCTAAACTGAAGCACAAAGACTTTTTTTTTTTAATAGACAAATAAATTAACCAAGCCTTGGTGGCCTATAGCAAGCATTCTAATTTATATGTAATTGGTACTCCAGAAGAAGAGGAGAGCAAAGTCAAAAGTCAAAAAGTATTTGAAAAACAGTGACCAAATTATATCAAATTTAGTGAACACTGTATCCCCTGTGTTGACAACCTCAGAAAGTCCCTATCAGAATAAATAGAAATAGACTTATCCAAAGAAAAATCTAAATCAAACTGTTGATATACAATGCTAAAAAAGAAAAATTTTAAAGCAGCCACAGTAAACATTTGAGAACAAAAATAAGAAAGGTTATAGATATTTCATTAGAAATAAAGAAAACAAGATGGAGTGGAAGAAACTAATTAAGATGCTGACAAAAATTTTCAAGCCTTAATTTATATTCAGGAAAATATCTTTCAAAAATAACAGTGAAATACTTTCTCAAGCAAACAAGACCTAAGGGAATTCAGAGCCAGCAGACATGCACTAGAAGGAATACTAAAGGAAGTCCTTCCCTGGCTGAAGAAAACAAACCAGGTGGAAACACAGATCTACTGCAGACCATAAAGAATGCTATTTCTGAGTGTGCAGGTAAATGTTAAAGACTTTTTCCTCATTCTTGTATTTCATTAAAAGATGACTATTAAAAATAAAACGTAACTGTATTGTAGGCTTCTCAAGACATGTAGTGAATATATGGTAAAAATAATACAAAGAACGAGGGCAGAAAATGAAGTTGTAAAATTTATGTTATACATATTAAACATATATGTTGTACATATTACTGTATTATACATCAAGCAGTGAACTATAAATATTGGACACATATAATAAGAGAAAGCATTTTAAAATTCTATAATAGTGATCCTAAAAATAAAATAAAATAATATGGCTAAGTCAAGAGCAGACATATAATTGAGTAGAAAAATAATTACTTTAAAAGAAAAAAAGGACAAAGAAAAAGGACAAATAGAATACAAATAAAATTGTATATATAAGCCCAAATATATCAATAATTATATGAAATATAAATGATACAAACACTTCAATTGTCAGTCTATATAAGTAAGAGCCAATTATATACTGTCTATGTGAAAATTACTTTAAATATTGAAGTACAGTTGTGTTAAAAGAAGAGATGGGTATAGTCAATATACCATGCAAAGTCTAATAATCAAGAATGTAAGTAGCAATACCAATATCAGGTAGTGATAAACTTAAAGATAATAACATGGATAAAGAAGAACATGAAATTATAAGAACGTTAATTTATCAAGAGACATAAACACATCATAAATGAGTATGCACTAACAACAATACTTTTAAAAGTAAAAAAATTGTTAGAATCAGAGAGAAAAAAGGACATATTTTACAATTACATTTGGAAATTTTGCCTCTTTTTTCTCAATTATTGATAAAGTAGATTAAAAAACTAATAAATACATAGAAAATTTGAATAACACCAATTATTTTAACTTAATTTATATTATACTCTATCTTGGAACAGTAGAGTATTCACAATTTTTAAGTTTATGTAAAATATTTAAAAATATATATCATATACTGGGTCATAAAACAAATAGCAGAAAATAGAAACTAACGGGCTATAACGGGATTAAATTAGTAATCAAAAATAGACAGATAACTAGGTTATTCCCAATAACTAGGTTGAATGTATGGTTATGACCAGGTTATCCCCAAATATTTAAAATGTAAAAATGCACTGGTTAATATCTTGTGACCCGAGAAAAAAAGTCAAAGGGAAATGTAAAAGTGTGAAATAATACATAATGAAACATCTTAAAAACTGTTCTGTGGCTAACACAATACTAAGTTGGAAGTTCCCAGCTTTCAATGCTTATGGTAAAGAGAAGAAAGGTATTAATTATTTGGTCTAATCTTCCATTTTAAGAAGCAAGAAAAACAAGTGGTAATTAAGCCCAAAGTGAGTAAAAGTAAGATAATAAAAAAAAGAGCAGACATTGATGACAGAAAAGTGATAATAATGGGGAAAAATTTAATAAAACCAAAAGCTAATTCTTTTGAACATATCAGCCAAATTGGTCATTATCTAGCTATTGCAATAAAAGAAGAAAGAAGAAGAACACAAATTACCAACACTATTAATTAAAATGCTGATTGTTCCAGATTTTAATTGTATTTGTAGCAGAAAACCTTCCAACAAAGAACAATCTATGCCCAGAGGCATCACTGGTTATTTATTTAAAATATTTAAACAATAAATAATATAATCCTATATAAAATATTTCAGAAAATACAAAATAATCTCCAAAATTAATTTTTAAACAGAGAATTATAAGAAAAAATATTTTATCTGTGTATTTAATTTCTATTGCTATGTGGGAATTATCACAAGCCTAGCAGCTTAAAACAATACTACCTATTACTTCAAAGTGTCTATGGGTCAGATGTCTGTATACAACTCAGTTGAGTCCTCTGCTCGGTATCTCATAAAGTTTCAATCAAGGTGTCAGCTGTGTATTCTGGAGTTCAGGGTTCTCTTTCAAATTCATGTTGTTTATAGCAGATTTCAGTTTCTTAACAGTCTAGGACTGAGGCCTTCAGATCAACCCGGTCACTCTTGCTAGCCTGACACATGGCCCTGTCTGTAGGCAGTTAATGTCATAGCACCTTGCTTTGCAAGATACATTGGAAAGCTTCTACCTGTTATACGTAAGAGGAACTAACACTTTTTAACCTAATCATGGGTGTGATACCCCATCATCTATGCCATATTCCGTTAATTTGACACAAGCCAAATGTCTTGCATATGCTAAAAAAAAAATAGACAAATAAATAAATAAATAAGATTGTATCGTTATAACATTAAGGTGTGGAGATCATCCTGATATTCTTGGAATTCTGCCACATGACATGTAATCTTATATAAAAACATCTAGTAAAAACCAAGAGTAAACAGAATACATAGTTGAAAGACTGAATTATTTTCCTCTATATTGGGGAAGGCAAGAATATTGGGACAATATTATAACAAAGCAAGGATTAAAATGAAGATGCTAGGTAGAGAAGTGACTAAAAAAATAAATGAAATATGTAAACTAGAAATGATTGAGTAAAATTTACATTCAGGAATATCTTAATCATCTATTTTTTAAATCTTTAAAATTACAAACATATCCTAAAATTAACTAATGCCAGACTGATATGCAAAAGTAATTGAATTTCTGGATATTAGCAAAAAAAGAGTAGGTAAATAAAATTTAAAAGCAATATATCATGCCTAATAATACATCATTAAACATGGAATAATTTGTGGTAATTTTAACAAAATAAGTATAACACCTGTAAAATTAATAGTACCAAACATAGTTGGAAGAAATTTAAAAGCACCTAAATAAACAGAGAAACATATAAATATACCATGTCAATACATTGGATGAGACTATACTGGGCCAATGTCAATTTTCTCAAAATCGATCTATAGATTGAATGCAGTCTTCATAAAAATTACATATTTTCTCCCTAGAAACTGAAAATATGACTATTTACATATAAGAACTCTAACACATCACTGTATAATGTTTCTAGTCTTCTGAGATTCTAATAACATCTCTCATTTGTGTAGTAATTCATAAATGATTGAAAAAATTTTCAAAAGTGTTCCCCAAAGCTGCTGCACCTTAAGTGTAGACCTTATCATGATTCTGGAGGGATCATGTCTACTTTTGCTCAATGTTACATCCATAGTATCTTGCTCTGTGGCCAAAAAAAGCTGTTAACAAAGTGAATAATTATTTAATTGCTTAATTAATTGCCTATATGTGAAGTAGCTATCCATGTAACAGGAGGATGGGAATAAACTATCAACTTTATTTCTATCTACACATATCTGTGGTTTTAGTTTCAGCAAAATGTAAAGAAACAGATTTTCATCTTATTAAAAGATGATGGTTATATACATTTGATTTTCAATTTCCACATACACAAATGCTGATTCAAAAATTGCCACTGATTTTATTGTAAAATTTTTATTACCTGTGGACATAAAAATTATGTATTCTCAATCCCAGATATAAGTGATTCTTAGTCAACTCTGTATACTGATCTTTGTTGATGAGTTAAAAATTTATATTTCATATATATGTATTAGAATTTAGCAAAGTATATGCTTTTAGAATCCTTTGTGATCTCATCTGGCAATGAACTGAGTGTCCTTTTTCCAATTGGCAAGAATTCAGCAAAAAATCAGGATGAACATGGTTAATGGGGACATTTATAAACATTTCAAGATATTTTCAAATGCTAGAGATACCCCTGGGCCTTTTATAAATCAACTCATAAAGCATACTTGGAAGAATCGTTAGGATATTTTAACATGGCCATTTAGCTTAGTTATTTACCAATAAAAGGCAATAAAATTTAAAATTATTTTTGTGATAAATAAAAATAAATAAATCTACATTTATGAAAATAAAGATGTAACTGCTTTTCCAAATCTTGTTATTGGATATACTCATTGATTTCCAGAAATCTCCTAGTTTAAAATTAGGATAATGCAAATAGTGTTCCATGTACATAATTGGACACATTTAAAAAATTAGTTTGGGTTTCCTTTAATAAATCTGAATTTTTATTTCATTGGCATAGTTCTCAGTTGTTCTTTGCTGACACTAAACTTTTTCTACTTTTATTTCGTATTAGAGAAACTCAGTTCAGACTGGTAGTTGCAAATCTCCCAATAACATCAGTAAATCATAGAAAGGTTTTTTTAAGCAAATAGCACTATGTTAATCTTCCACTTACAACTTTTCAGTAGCTTTTCCTTGTTCTATGGATAAAATTCAAATTACTTTACTATAGCACATAAGGCTCAGCATTTCTGATTCTTGCCTGTCCCTCATCCTTTTCCCTTCCTTACCCTCCAGCCACTTGGTGACAGCAACAACTACATTAAGGACTTCATGGTTGTCACAGGTCAGCACCTCTCCTGTAATTGTTTGATAAAGTTCACAAAGCCCCTTTGTATACACTGCCCTATTCTGATCTTGACAATAACCTTATGAGGTCAGTACTGTTTTACTTACTAAATCCACATCAGAGTTGAGATCTCAGGGTGGTAAGAGAGGAAAAATCAAACATCGAAAAGAAAAACTAATACCCAAGCACTCTGATTCTAATTCCAGCTATTGTTTCATTTAATCAACAGAAAATATGTTCATTGCTATTCATTTCCTGTGTTTGTTAAACATCTGAAACAAGAATCTATAGATGGTGGAAACGTTTTTTAGGTTTTAAATAAAACATAATACGTACTGCATAAACTCAAAAAATTACACAATTCCCTATACTCTATTAAATGTAACATATATTGTTTCTCTAAAATTTGCCTAAATTTTCTCTCCTTTTACTCCTAATATCCCTTTCCCTTAATCATTGCTGATAGGTTATTCAATATAATATGGACATAATGATTTTCAAATTATAAAATGTACTAAAATAATAATTTACTACATCTCTTAAAAAAACTCAGACATATCCATTGGTTGTTTGAACCAACTGCTATCATTTAGATATGGGGAAAAAGAAAAGTTAAGTATAAAGATCTTCCTCAGTTCATATTTCTGTGCATACCAAATAAAATGGAAAATAGATTATATTATCTATTATATAGACCCTAATTAATTTTATCTTTATGCATATGCTTAAAATTGTTCTCTTTATAAAGTATAAAGAGATAGATAAGGTGCTTCAGTTTAGGTGATTAGTGATTTGAAGGAAAGACAAAGTTAATTATAGTATTGAATCAATGTTGCATGTACAAATGTATTATACTAAAAATATTCAAAATATGAAAGCAAGAAACACAGAGTGTTAAAAACGCAATGTATAATAATTACTATAGTTAATCAAATCTGAGCAGTCCCCAGTTAAGAGATGACTTACTCTCATAAGTTCTACCACAAAATAATTCTAATATTGCCAACTAAGCAATGACACAATGTCTTAGTGATGCTTTCACAAGATGTCTTACTCCAGCATATTGTTACTTTGAAATTTTTTTCTAAAGTTTTCAGGGCGTTTTTCAATCTTTCTGCCTCTGGTTTTATTGACTCACTTGTCCTACCCAATCCACTTAGAGTTATCTCAGTAACAAAATATACCAGAGCATCAACTACTTCTCAACACCTTTCTTTGTAAGTCTTGTGAAACACATTGCTGTTTTGCAAGTAAATATGGAATTGTAGCTCTTCTTCCTTGGCATGTATTTTTTTACTGATATATCAAATTCCATGTTGTTACTTTATTCCCATGCCTCTAACATATATTCAATAATCATTTATTTGGCTGCGAAGTCATAGCATCAGTTTCTATAAAACTGTGAACAGCAATTAAATTCAAAAATAAATGATAAAAATTTGACATAAATTAAAGTGAAAACAGTATAAAAATATAATGACAAATTTTTATATATGTACAATTTCAAATTTTTCACAATGGTTACCTGGAAAACAGTAATTGCTAGATGTTATCAATTGCACTTGTCTCAAATTCAGAAAATTAAGAATGTTAATATGTTTTTAAAAAGGTAAAGAGGGAAAGTGAGAGAAAGAAAGAAAGAAAAAGAAAGAGAAAGAAAGAAAAGAGGAAGGAAGGAAGGAAGGAAGGAAGGAAGGAAGGAAGGAAGGAAGGAAGGAAGGAAGGAGGGAAGGAAAGTATTTTAAAAACTGTTACAAAAATCAAGTCTTTTAAAAGAAATGGCTTCCTTTCATCCCTAACTCTGCCTCATGAGTCACACCTACACCTTTCCGAGAATAGCTGACCTGAGCTCTCTTCTTAATTAAGTGTTCAATGACACAAACTGACTCAAACTTAACTTTTAGTATCTCTGTCAAATAGGACATACTTTATTGCTTATTGTTAAATATGTTTTATTTCATTTCCAAAAATACTCTCTCTTAAAATATGAGAAAACATTACTTTCCTAAATGCTTCCAGACAGTATGACAAAGCTCAATAAACACTTTAAAGAACACACTATTTAATACCAGAATACATCTCTTTCATTCTTTTCTTTTCTTTTTTTTTTTTTTTGAGGTAGAGTCTCACTCTGTTGTCCAGGCTAGAGGACAGTGGCAGGATCTCGGCTCACTGTAGCCTGTGTCTCCCAGGTTCAACTGATTCTCCTGACTCAGTCTCCTGAATAGCTAGGATTATAGGCATGTACTACCACATCTGGCTAATTTTTGTATTTTTATTAGAGATGGGGTCTTACCATGTTGACCAGGGTGGTCTCAAACTCCTGACCTCAATTGATCCACCCGTCCTGGCCTCACAAAGTGCTGAGATTACAGGTGTGAGCCACAGTGCCTTGCCTATTATTTTCTTTTCACGGTATCACAACTACACATTTGCAAAACAATTTCATTTTGATTTTTACTCACTTTTCTATACTTACTATATTGGGGAAACATTATTCAAACTGTTCTATCCAGTATATCAGAAAACATTAGTAAGCATAGAAAATAACCCAGCATAAAATATGTTTTTAAAATATTAATAAATATTTTGCAAAAAAAAATAATTTTGGCAAAAAATCACAACAAATGGATTATTTACCGAAGTATTTTTATATGATATTATATCAATTGTATATATGTTTACTGAAGTATTTTTTGTATATGTCATTTTCTATAAAGCTGTGAACAGCAATCTCTATATAATCTTATGTAGATATTCATGTCTGAAAAACCTGCCTGATGTAACATGTCTGAAGAACTCTTTTTCATGGAATACCTTTTTAAGATCTCACACGATTTTTCTATGGATTGTAATCTAAAATTGTTAACATAATATAAGTTATTTCTCAACAATGTTAAAATTAGATTATATCATTTATCATCTGTGAAACTTAACCTAAAATTTGAAAAGAGCATTGTAAGTCCATTTTTTATTATTATTTTCAATTGGAATATGTGAAGAGGACATTTTGAGTATTATTTATTTGTTACATAATAAGTGATAATAAGTTTTGTATTTTATGATTTGAAATACATACAGTAATAAAAGGAGCAGCAGAAAACATGAAAGATTAGATTTTGCTCAGAATCTTGAGCAAAGATTATCTTCTCAGGATGTTGAGAAGAGTTAGGTTTTGCTCAGAATGTTGAGTAACACACATACAATTGAGTAACATACATACATAGCTAACATAGAATTAAAAGGAGTTCCAGAAAGAAATAAATAATAAGTATACGTTAAAAAATCATCAAACAAATAATAGAAGAATATTTTCTAAGATATAGAAAGACTTGAATCTTTAGGGGGAAAAGACATGCTGTATCAAACAGGTTAAATAAAAACAGACTGATATTTTTTACATATTTATTTAATTTCAGGAAATCAATGACTAAGAAAAAAGTCCCATGTGCCTCAAAGATGAGAGAAATATACATATATATATATATATATATATTTTTTTTTTTTTTCAAAGGGAAAAAGAATCTGAGTGCCATCAGATCTGTTACCAGGAATACTAAGTGCCATAAAAACAATGAGCTAAAGTTTAAAAGGAAATTATTTTGAATTTAAACATTGATGCCCAGCAAAAGTATCAATTAAACATATGAAAACTGAAGATATAATCAGACATGTAAGGACTCAAGTAATTAACTTCTAAAGGACTCTTCATAAGAGGACAAAGCCATATCAGAAAATAGAATATGTGGGCTCCAAAAAATAGAGAACCTGGACAAGAATACAATAAAAATAAATCCCAGGATGAAAATTTTGATGTCATCCTTAATTAGTCTAAATTAGCACTAGAATAAAACTGATTGAGAATTCTGTTAAAAAAATAAAGTACGACAAAATAAATTTTGTTGAATAAAGTCAGATCTTGGAAGATCATACTATCGTGAAAAAGGCATATGTTTTGTTTATCAGCAGGGAAAAGGCAAGTCAACTGTAACGCCACTGAAAAAATACACATTATATATTTACTATCTGGTTATGGTCCAAATATAAAACAAATAAAATATGACATGGCTTTTGAGCTATTGATGCATTATAATAAAATGTGGATGTCATTTATATTTTACATAAAAAATATTCTCCTTTGACAATTCTATAATTTTGCACTTTAAAATATGTAATTTTAGCATAATATCTGATTCTGAACTGAGAAAAAAAAATATTCCTGTTAAAATTTAAGCCGGGTGCGGTGGCTCACGCCTGTAGGCCATGTCAGACAGGCGGGTGGATCACCTGAGGTCAGGCGTTGGGACACCAGTCTGGCCGACATGGCGAAACCCCGTCTCTATTAAAAATATAAAAAATTAGCCTGGCGCGGACGCCTGTAATCTCAGCTACTCAGGAGGCTGTGGAGAATCGCTTGAACGCGGGAGGTGGAGGTTGCAGTGAGCCGAGATCGTGCCATTGCACTCCATCCTGAGTGACAAGAGCGAAACTCCATCTAACGTTAAATACAATAAAATTAATTAATTAATCAATTAATGTTGAATGTTTAGTATGGTTACAGCTTTTTCACTTGGTATTCCAGCAAGCGGGAAGGTGAGGAGTGGTGCCCAGCGGCTTCTCTCCCGTTGTTAGGCAAGCCTGATAGCTCTTTCACTCCTGCTGCCTACAGTTTCACTCCAACAGTTTGGCGAGTTCAGGGTTCCTGGCCTACCACCAAGTAAAATAAGGTAGGCGGACACCAGAGAGTAAGACAGAGTAGAATTTTACTGAGCAACAAAAAGAAAGCTGTCAACTGTGAGAGGGGACCCAAAAGCTAGTACTGTAGCTGTCTATGAGGCTGAGTCCCGGCTTTCTGTGACCTTAGAATGGGGGAGTATGTACTGATTGGTCCATGGGTGGTCTCGGAAAGGCACCATTGAGTTGGTTAAAAGGCATTATCAGAAGGAACCAATCAAGTGAGAGTGGATAAGATGGGGATAGAAGTTCTCACTCCAGAAGGGACTCTATCAGGAACTGGCAGCTTGGTTTTCAGACTGCAAACTGTCCTTGGCTTGCAGGTTGAGTTTCACTGGGGCCCCATCCGTCTGCCTAGGAATTTGTCTGTCTCTTGTTGCTATCAGAATCAATAACTACAAGAGGTAATTATGGTAACTGAAACAATTTATGATTTATACAATCAATAATAGTGTAAAAGGGTACATCACTATTTATCTTATTTTTGTGGGTCTACTAAATTGTACATTCATGGCAAAGAGAAATATGAGATTTTTCTATCCATTAAACAATGTTAAAATTCTGAAACATAAACGCAAAAACAAAAAAACTTCTATATAGTGAGAAACAAATAAGAGTCTCTAGTGGCCAGTCGTTAGGAAGGTCTCCCATGTATACTTGCCTCCTGACATTCATGGCCTGGTACTATCTCATCCCATTGGGTGTGCACAGGACTTTCTGACACACTTCAAATGAGAAGAATATGGCAGATGTAAAGGTATGTCACTCCCAATATTAGGTTAAGAAAGAGCTTCTATTTAGGAAGTTCTCTTGGTCTATCTTAGGTTATTCATTCTGTGGGAAACAAGCTGCCATTTTGTGAATAGAACTCTGGTTATAGAGAGGCCAGGGTGGCAGAGTGAGGAACTGAGTTCCTCAGTCCAGGAGCCTGCAAGGAAGAGACACATGCTGATGACCAAGTAAGGAACTTTGGAAGCAGATCCTTCAGCTATTGTAAATCTTACACTGACAGCAGCCTTTGCCGGCCTCTTGAGTGCAGTGTCATAAGATATACTCAGATCCATCTGGCTAAACTGCCACCAGATTCCTGGTCCACACATAATGTGAGATAATAAATGCTTGTTTTTTCAAGCTGCCGAAGTTTGGAATCATTTGCTTTTCAGCAAAGGTAACTAAGATGGGATCTCATAAAGGACTCAAGACTGTAATTGTTTTTAAGTGACAGTTGGTAGTAAACATTAAAAATAGCTAAATAATACTAAACCTAATTTGTAGTTACAATTGTGATTAAAGAATTAAAGCTGAACTTTTTAAACACATATTCCAATACTGCCCTGTACCAAATGTATATAGATCATGTCTGATAATAGAAGTTTGATTAAGTGATTCTCTTTACAAGTCTTTTGATTACATAATAATTGAATGATTTCTGTTTTAATAACCAGCTTTCATCTTGATATGTGTGGTTCGTTTTGAAAATTTTTCATTTTAATTTTTTAATTTTTATTACTTTTTTCTTTTTTAAAGCAAAGTCTCACTCTGTCTCCCAGCCTGGAGTAGAGTGGAACAGTCTTGGCTGACTGCAACCTCTGTCTCTCAGGCTCAAGCAATCCTCAAGCATAGCCGGGATTCTAGACATGCACCACCACACCCGGTTTATTTTATATTTTTTGTAGAGACAAGGTTTCACTCTGTTGCCCAAGCTGGTGATCCACCTGCCTCAGCCTCACAAAGTGCTGGGATTAGAGGTGTGAACTACCACACCCACCCAGAAATTGCTATATTACTACTACTTTATTACTATACAAATACCTGATCATATTTATAATACACACACATATTTGTAATTGAACAATAGTTCTTGAATTTGTTTCAGTAGCGTTAACTTCAAATTTGAAATTAGTAATAACAATCATTGGCAAGGTGTGCTTTCCACATCTTTTTAAATTAAGAAATGCTATAATCAGCATTTCACATGAAAAGGTATTAAGTATAATATCTAGATTGCTACTGTTCTGTTAATATATATGAATAATTAAATATTATGTCAAATGTATTAAAAATTCTAAAAATGTACAATATAATACCCCAATAGATTTAAGAATTTGTGTGTCTGCTGGGCGCGGTGGCCCACACCTGTAATCCAAGCACTTTGGGAGGCTGAGGTGGGCGGATCATAAGGTCAAGAGATCAAGACCATCCTGGCCAACATGGTGAAACACCGTCTCTACTAAAAATACAAAATTTTGCTGGGTTTGCTGGTGAGCACCTGTAGTCCCAGCTACTCAGGAGGCTGAGGTGGAAGAATCACTTGAGCAGAGGAGGCAGAGGTTGCAGTGAGCCAAGATTGCGCCACCGCACTGCAACCTGGTGACAGAGCAAGACTCCATCTCAAAAAAAAAAAAAAAAAAAAATATGTGTGTCGTTTTTCTTCCATAAAAAATAAAACAATTTACCAAATGTGGTTATACTATAAAAACATGAACTGACTGTCCTCAACTTACAATGGTTTAAGATTTTTCAACTTTACGATGGTGTGAAAGTGATATGGTTTGTATTTGTGTCCCCACCCAAAGCTTATCTCAAATTGTAATCCCTGATAATGGAGTAGAGTCCAGGTGGGAGGTAATTAGATCATGGGGCAGATTTCACCCTTGCTGTTTTTGTGACAGTGAGCTCTCAGGAGATCTGGTTGTTTTTAAACTCGTGTAGCACCTCCGCCTTTGCTTTCCGTCTTCCTGTTCCTGACATGGAAGACGTGCCTACTTCCCCATGAATTCTTTCATGACTGTAAGTTTCCTGAGGCCTGCCCAGCCATGCTTCCTGTACAGCCTGTAGAACTGTGAGAATGAAACCTCTTTTCTTTATGATTTACCCAGTCTCAGCTAGTTCTTTATACCAATGTGAGAATAGATTAATACAGAAAATGACATACATTCAGTAGAAACTGTACTTCAAGTACTCATGCAACCATTCTATTTTTCATTATCAGCATAATATTAAAGCACTTACATGAGATATTCAACACTTTTTATTATAAAATAGACTTTGTGTTAGATGATTTTGTTCCACTGTAGGCTAATGTGAGTATCTGAGCAGATTTAAAGTAGGGTGGCTAAGCTGTGGTGTTCAGTAGGTTAGCTGCATTAAAGGTATCTTATACTTGGCCAATTTCTGTGGGTTAATTGGGATATAACCCCATTGTAAATCAAGAAACACCTGATTCCCTAACTAAGCATTATCTGAAGTTTCATGTAATAGCTCTATTTTAGCTTATTAGCACGATGAATTGACAACTATCACACAGTCATTTAGTAGCTACACTATAAACATATAACTAATCGAAATGTTTGCTATTTTACAACAGATAATCTTTTGTTAAACATATATCATTTTTAGTAATAATTTTGGCATTTACTGTTGTTTTACATTAAAGGAATTAGAAAATATTATGACTTATTTGCTAATTATTACATAATTGTATACAATTTCAATATCCAAAAGATATTTGAGGTTTTAATAAAATATTTTTATGATTAAGCTTTTGCATTTCATTTAAACACTAATAAAATAGAAAAGCAGAAAGAAAAGATATTTATTGGAATATTAGATTGAATTTTTCTTAGAAAATTATTTAAAGCTATTCAGAATTGCTTCAAATTCCCCCTTGTATTTCTGAGTAACATATTTAACAACAGATATTAAAAATCTACCAGAAATTAAGATTTACATAGTGAATCTTAGCCTGTGAGTATTTAACAAAAGCATTGGAGTCAACCTGCAGGGTTTCATAATATATTTTATAAAGTAAAGCCAAGTCCATTGCAATAAAATTACACAAAAAAAGTATTCTTACTATTGCATTTTAATCATAAAATATAGGTATTCTGTGAATGTACTTTCTAATAAAGTCCTTTACAAAAAAGTTACACATTGGATACTCAAAAAAATTTGTT